CCCGAGTTCTGGGAGCGGCCGGACCCCCCGGTACCGGTACCTGGCTCGGTGCCGCTGCTCCGCCGGCGGCCGCTCCGCTGCTGGCGCCCGCGGGGCCGGATCCCGCAGGAAACTCCGGCAGCTCGGCCCCTTTCCTGCCAGGAAGGGACAGAGGGGACAGCGGGGACAGCGGCCACCGCCGCCCCGCCCCGGGCTGCGTCCTGCCCGGCCAGCGGGACAGAACGGGGCGACCGCGGGATAGAGCGGGGCAACTGCGGGGACAGAGCGGGGCGACCGCGGGATAGAGCGGGGTGACCCGCGGGGACAGAGCGGGGCGACCCGCGGGACCGGCTCTGGGGTCAGTGCCCAGTTTCGGGGTCTGTGCCCCAGCTCTGGAGGCTCTGGGGTCAGTGCTCAGTTCTAGGGTCAGTGCCCAGCTCTGGGCTCTGTGCCCAGTTTTGAGGTCTGGGGTCAGTGGGATCAGTGCTCAGTTTTAGGGTCAGTGCCCAGCCTTGGGGGTCTCTGCTCAATTTTAGGGTCAGTGCCCAGCCTTGGGGTCAGTGCCCAGCCTTGGGGTCAGTGCCCAGCCTTGGGGTCAGTGCCAGCTCCGGACGCGCTGCCCGGCCCTATCGGGAGCGCAGGAAACACCTTGGCGGGACCGGGATTGTCCCTTCCTGCGGGACCCGGGTGGGGACAGACCCGGCACGGGGACAAAACCCGGCAGCACGGCCTGGACACGGGGACAGAGGGAGAGAGAGACACGGGGACAGGGGGACACACAACGGCACACAGACACAGGAACACACAGGGGGACAAAGGGACACAAGGACACGGGGACAGAGGGACAGGCGGTGCCCCGGCCAGCCGTGGGTGGGGACACAATGGGGCAGTGCCAGAGCCGGCCCGAGCCAGCGGGGACAAAGGGACAAGGGGACAAAGGGACAATGTCACAGCTCCTGCCGGGCACAGGGCCAGCTCACCGCGCTGTCACCCCTGGCATGGAGGGAGGGACTCGCTCCTCCCCTTGGGGACATCCCGTCCCACACCGCTGCCCCCATGTCCCCAGACCCCTCCAGCTGTGCACCCTGGCTGTCCCCATCCCCTTCTCCTGTCCTCATCCCCTTTTCCTGTAACCCCTGGCTGTCCCCAGACCCCTCCGAATGTCCCCCTCCCCTCTTTTCCTGTGCCCTGTCTGTCCCCATCCCCCCTTCTCCTGTCCCCCTGAATGTCCCCATCCCCTTTTCCTGTCCTCTCCATGTGTGTCCCTGTCCCCACTTTTGTCACCGCAGCTGTCCCCGTGCTCAGAGGGGACAGAGGGACACGTCCATCCCTGGGACAGCTCTGCAGCATTCCCGGGATTTGTGTCCCCTCCTCCTCCTCTTTCCGTGTCACCGTTGTCACCCCCGGGCTCAGGAACGGCGTCCAGGATTTGTCCTTTGGCCTCGTTCGGATCCGGAGATTCTCACCGGGGTTTTTTTTTGGGACTTTTTACCTCATGGAGGGGGAACTTCCCGGATTTCCTCCAGCAGAGCCAAGAACGTGCCGCTGTCCAGAGGCTGCCCTGTCCCCCAAATCCCAGGAATTCCCTGAGGAGCCAGAACAATTCCAGCGACCCCACAGCGCTGGGAACAAATCCTGCTGGGATGGGGGAGTGGGGCTGGAAACTCGGATGGGAATGGGATCGGGAATGGGATCGGGAATTGGCTCCCAGCCCTGGGAATTCCTGCTTGGGAAAACAACACCTGGAGGTGCTGGGATGGTGGGAATGGGATCAGGAGCAGGACTGGGAACAGGAATCAGGAACAGGATCAGGATTGACTCCCAGTCCTGGGAATTCATCCTTCGAAAAACAACACTTGGGGGTGCTGGGATGGTGGGAATGAGATTGGGAACGGGATCAGGAACAGGATTGGGATCAGGGCAAGGATCAGGGCTCCTGGTTTTGCTGGGCATCCCCCTGATCCCGCCTGGATCTTGGCCTGGGCTGGCACCTCCCAGGGAAAATTCCCCTTCCGTGCCCATATCCTGAGTTTCCTGCTCCTGCTCTGGCGAATTCCAGGTGTTTCCTGGCTGGGAAGGGTCTGGGCAGGGATCGGGCAGGATCTGGGGAAAATTCAGGCAGGGCCTGGGCAGGGTCTAAGCAGGATCCAGGAAAAGACCAGACAGAGCCCAAGGAAGTTCTGGGCAGGATTTGGGAAGGATCCAGGAAAGATGCAGGCAGGGTCTGAGCAGGGTTTAGGCCAGGATTTATTTGGTCAGGGTCTGGGGCAGGCCCAGCTCAGGTGGCCACGAAGCTGAGCAGGGCTGGCTCCACCCAGGTGGCCTCGCCAGGTGACACAGGGGGTGACAGAGCCCCTGTCCCTTCACAGCCAGCCCCAAACGGCCCCGAGTGCTGGGATAACCCTGTCCAGACACAGCCTGAAATCCCGGGATAACCCCATCCACCTTCACCCCGAAATCCAGGATAACCTCATCCAGCTTTACCCCCAAATCCTGGGATAACCCCATCCAGCTGCTCCCATTAATCCCGGGATAACCCCACCCATCTTTACCCCTAAATCCAGGATAACCCCATACAGCCAAACCTCCAAATCCCGGGATAACTCCATCCAGTTTTGCCCCTAAATGCCAGGATAACTCCATTCGGCCATACCCATAAATCCCAGGATAACCGAATCCAGCTGCACCCTTGAATCCCAGGTTAATCCCACCCATCTTTACCCCTAAATCCAGGATAACCTCACCCAGCTGGGATAACCCCATCCAGCTCCGCCCCTAAATCCCAGGATAACCTAATCAAACTGCACCCCTAAATCCCAGGATAACCCAAACCAGTTTTGCCCCTAAATCCTGGAATAACCCGGTCCAGCTGGGATAACCCCATCCAGCCTCACCCCCAAATCCTGGGATAACCCCATCCAGCCTCACCCCCAAATCCTGGGATAACCTAATCAAACTGCACCCCCAAATCCCGGATATCCCCATCCAGCCCCCCCTGGATCTCGGGTTGGATTTTTCCCTCAGGTATTAGTGACATTCCCAAGGCTGCTCCAAGCACGGGTGGGATTTCAGGGAGTCTGGGCAGGGCCAGGAGTTGGATTCTGATCCTCTCAGGCCCTTCCAGCTCAGGATTTCCTTAATCCCGGAATTCTGACCCAAAACGGGGAGGAAGGACCCGCCCAGCCATGGATTTGCTGCCACCTACAGCGGGCGCCGGAATCTCGGGAATTTCAGAGAATTCCAAACCTTGCACCCGGGTAGGAAGAACCTCCCAGCCCCGGGAATTGTCTGCATGGAAAGCGAAAGGAATTCCCGAAAGGATTTGGGAATTCTGAGCCGCCGCCGAATTCCCAAAGGACTTTGTGCCAGGGGTGATCCCGCCTGGAATTCTGTGCCCATTCCAGGCTTCCCTGGGCGAGGAAAATACGGGAATGCCGGAGAGATCCCTGCTGGGAGGAGGTGGGAATGGCTCGGGGGGATTTTGGCAGCGGATTCCGGGATTCTGGAAAGGCAAAAAATTCTTCTCAGCGCCGCTCAGAGAAGCAGAAAATTAATAAAAATTAAATAAAAGAAATTAGGAAAAAAATTAAAATTAAATAAAAAATTAGAAATTAAATTAAAACCGTCAAACGCCACCAGGAACACAAGAAATCAGCACAGGCACCGGGAAATTGCGGGATATTCCAAACATTCCTCGGGATATTCCAAAACACTCCTCGTGCTCCAGGCCCCGGGATTGGCCCGGGAGAGCTCGAGATTCAACCCGCGGTGATCCCGGGACAATTCCTGCTTCTCCCGGGATAATTCCTGCGGATCCTGGGGCAATTCCTGCCACTCCCGGGATAATTCCCCCCTCTCCCGGGACAATTCCTGCGGATCCTGGGGTAATTCCCCCCTCTCCCGGGACAATTCCTGCGGATCCTGGGGTAATTCCCCCCTCTCCCGGGACAATTCCCGCCTCTCCCGGGACAATTCCTGCCGTTCCCGGTGTGTCCCCGGGATCCTGGCGCTGCCGCCCCCGGCCGCAGATGGAGCGCAGCAGACGCGCGCTGTGGGAAGCGCCGTCGGGAACGCGCTCGGGGACGGCTCCAGCTGGAGCCTGCGGGGTGGCGGCGGCAGCGCGGGGACATCCCGGGGACACCCCGGGGCCATCTGTCACCTGCAGCCGGCCCGGAACCGCCCCCGGGCCGCGAGGATTCCGTACGGAGAGATCCCGGCTGTGCCCGGCTCCCGGGGACGGGCCGGGATGGATTTGGGATCGGAGGTGGGGCTGGGGAGCAGTGGGGACAATGGCACAGATTGGGGACACAGATTTGGGGATCAGGGAGAGGCGGTGACAATGGAGCTGCCCCTGAGGGGACACAAATCTTTGGGATTAGAGCTGAGATTGGGAAGCAGCGGTGACACCGGATCTGCCCCAAAGGGACACAAATCTTTGGGATCAGGGAGCAGTGGTGACAATAGAGCTGCCCCTGAGGGGACACAAATCTTTGGGATCAGAGCCGGGATCAGGGAGCGGTGGTGACAGTGGAGCTGCCCCAAAGGGACACAAATCTTTGGGATCGGGGAGAGGCGGTGACAATGGAGCTGCCCCTGAGGGGACACAAATCTTTGGGATCAGGGAGAGGCGGTGACAATGGAGCTGCCCCAAAGGGACACAAATCTTTGGGATCGGGGAGAGGCGGTGACAATGGAGCTGCCCCTGAGGGGACACAAATCCCCTTTGTCCCAGCCCCTCCATGGCTGCATTTCCCCGATCCAGTCTCTCGCTGCTGCTGGGAACGCCCCAATTCCCGGCACCTGCCCCACCCTGGAAGTGCCCGGGGCCACCAGGAGGTGGCCCTGCCCATGGCCCGGGTGGCCCCGCGTTGTCGTTAAGGTCCCTCCCACCCAAACCATTCCAAGGTTCCAGGACTCTGTGCCACCCCTCTGTGACATCAGCCCGGCCTGGTGGCACCGCCAGGGCCGTGGGCACCAGAGGTGACACCTCGGCTCTGCCTCTGCCACCTGCGCTGGCACCGATGGCTTTGCTGGGGCTGCTCGTGCTGCTGGCCCTGGCCGGGCCCGTGGTGGCCACCTGGGACACCTGCAGGTCAGTGTCCCCGGGGGGCTCGGCGACACTCGGGGGTGCCGTGGTTCGTGCTGGGCACAGAGGAGCCGCTGGGGGGTGGCTGTCGCTGCTGTCCCCGAGCAGGGCAGTGATGGCTTTGTGCTTGCAGAGGCACCTGCGGGCTCCGGCCCATGGCCTTCGACCACAGCTCGGTGGACCCCGAATATTCCCAGGATTCTAACTTCGGATCCTTGGATGCTGCCGATGACATCTCGCAGGACGTGGGTGGCACCGGGGTCCACCCGGGGGCCTGGCCCGGTGTCATCAGCATCCAGGCCACCCTGGACAATGGCACGTGGCACATGTGCTCGGGGGCACTCATCCACCCCCAGTGGGTGCTCACGGTCGCCAGCTGCTTCGTTGGGGCTGGGTAAGGAGAGGGGACAGGGATGGGACCCCAAGGGACAGGGATGTGACCCCAAGGGACAGGGATGGGACCCCAAGGGACAGGGATGGGACCACGAGGGACAGGAGCGTCCCCTCAGCAGGGACAGGGATGGGACCCCAGCAGGATCAAGGATGTCCTCGAAACAAGAATAGGACTTTCCCCACAAAAGAGTCAGGGATGTCCCTCAGAAGGGTCCAGGATGTCCCCACGAGAGGAAAAGGGATATCCCCACAGCAGGGTGGGGCACGGGCCCACAGCAGGGATGTCCCCACAGCAGGGACAGGGATGTCCCCACAGCACAGTGATGTCCCCAGGGATCACAGCTGCTGCAGTCCCTGTCCCTGCTCCATCAATCCTTTCTCCATCTCCTGCTCCCCAGGGACATCTCCAGGTGGGAAGTGGTGATCGGGGCCACAGACCTGGCTGAGCCGGGCCCCGAGGCCGAGCTGCGCCACATCCAGACCCTGCTGTTAAACCAAAATTACAACCCTGCCACGGCCACCAACAACATCGCCCTGGTGGAGCTGGAGCAGCCCGTGGAGTGCAGTGACTACATCCAGCTGGGCTGTGTGCCCGACAGCTCCCTGGCAGTGCCCGAGCTGAAAACCTGCTACATGGCGGGCTGGAGAGCCACCCCGGACAGCGGTCAGTGCCCCCGGGGGCTGAGCCTGGCTCTGGGGCTGGGCCTGGCTGGGGGCTGGGCCTGGCTCTGCGGCTGATCTCGGCTCTGGGGCTGATCCCGGCTCTGGGGCTTATCCCGGCTCTGGGCTGAGCTCTGCTCTGGGACTGATCCCGGCTCTGGGGCTGAGCTCGGCTCTGGGGCTGGGCCCGGCTCTGGGGCTGGGCCTGGCTATGGGGCTGAGCTCGGCTCTGGGGCTGATCTCGGCTCTGGGGCTGATCTCGGCTCTGGGCACGCTCTGGGCTGGCCCCGAGCAGAGCTGGGCCTGGGCCGTGCCCCGGAGCCCCGGGCAGGGCCAGGCTGGGTCAGGGGCTCTGGGGGGCACAGCCCGGCCCCGGGCCAGGGGCTCGGCCCCACAGGGCCCCCAGGGCCCCCAGGGTGCTCAGTG